CTTTTAAATCCGAATTTAAAGACATTTTGACAAGTTCAGACAGTTTTCACCTCATTGATTCTGACAGCACTACTAGATGGAGATTTAAAATCAATTCTAAATGTGCCTGGAGGAAACATCTTCATACGCAGAAAGCCTCCCTCTGCTAATAAATGATTACACTGTCATCTTTAGGAGTCTTTTACCATGGCTTTAGTGTGTGAGAGATGTAATGATAAGAAGGTAACTGTAATCCAAATGTCATAATATATTTAATCTTTTTTTCAGGGAGTGGGCTGGGAGAGATTAACCAAAGAGCTTATATGCATAAACATGGTGAAGGCCTGGGGCAGGGAGTAACAGGAGTGAGATGGAGGGGGTCAATTAGGAATAAAACGGGTCATTTATAACACTTTCAACAATAAAGGTAATTTTTTTTAAAGTATATCTTATTTGGAATGACTTTAAAAAGAACTATTGTTCAACATTTAAGTACTAAGTGTGGAGGTACTTAGTACTCATCAAACTGGCAAAATATTTGTAATATATGAGAAAAAAGTTAATATGCCTAATATACAAAAATACTTAGAAATCTATGAGGAAATTACTTTCTTAGAAGCTTAGAAAATTTGCCAAAGATAAAACACAGAAAAATGCCATAATCAAATGATGTTCAGCTTCACTAATGCTGTAAAAACTGCAAAATGAAACAATTAGATACTTTTAATCTATAATAATAATAATAATAATAATAATAAATAGGAAATAAATTATGATTGTACAGACTTCCTGAAACATTTAACACCAGCAAATGAAATATGCAAATGTAAGTGAACACAATGTTTGGGTTCAGCAAGCACATTTTCAGAAATATCTTATCCACTAAAGTATTCAAGTAATGTATATTCACCTATTTGTAGGTGTGTATATCCAAATGATGTAGATCTATAGAGAACTGTGCAATTTATGGTATGAGGTGCAATGGATATTGTACAGCCCTTCCAAAGGGTTTATCTACATCTTCTGGCATTGAATGGCTTTCCAAGATAATATTGCTTGTTTGAAAGCACAGTATAAATAGAGGTGTGAGTACATCCAAAGTATACTGAGTGGGATATTATGCATAACTTTTACTTTCTAAACACTCCATAGCTTGATTTTCAAACAAGAAATCTGTGATGTTTTGAAATTAAAGGAAAGAATAAAGGGGGACTCCATGGTGGTTAAACACCATCTATTTTGATATGCTCCTGAAACAAAATGAGAGCTCCCAAACTGGGTCGCTCTCACTCTTATCACACACACACACACACACACACACACACACACACACCCCGCTCCATTAGAGTTAAGGTGCTACCTCCACACAGATCTTATTTGGAAATTCTTAACTAGCATGTAAACCAATTGTCCCAGGGCTCAGACAAACAAATGTGGTTGTATGATCATTACCAGTGATAATTTTATAAAGTAGGAGAAGACAATATGATTGTCTCTAGCATCACTTTATTTGTGATCATTTCTCATTGTGTCAGTGTTAGAGGTGAAGGTTGGATATTTTGATAAAGCATCTAATACAGTGTTGTATATATTTATATTTATAATGAATATGGCATATCTTATTAAAGCAGGGATTCATCTTGTATTTTTTAATTAAGAATAAGCTGCCAACTTATCTAAGAGTAAGCATTCTGATTTAAAAGGATTTCTAGACTCATTATCTACTAGAGGCGTGGTGCATGAAAATTCATGCCTTAGGGGGGTGTCCCTCAGCTTGGCTTGCCCCCTCTCACAGTCTAGGAGCCCTCAGGGGCAGGAGGCGACCCGGTGATCAGGGGAAGGTGATGCCTCATTATACCCCTGCTGCTGCTACTGTTGGCAGCTCAAGCCTCAGCCGGCCCTGGTAACCTGAGCCTCAGGCAGCCCTGGGTGGCTGGGCAGCCACCATCTGAGGCTTGCCTGTGCCTTGGGCTGGCCTGGGTGGCTGGGGGGTTAAGGGGACTGGGGGACTCCAGAGGCAAGCACCCTGGTGGGGCTGAAGGGACTGGGCACCACCATCTGTGGCTGTGGGATCCACCATCTTTGAGGGTGTGACAGTCAATTAACATATTCCCTCCTTATTGGCTGTGTGTGCTGCCATCTTTGTGAGGATGTGATGGTCAATTAGCTTATTCCTTTTTTCTTAGATAGGGTGAAATGAAAAATTTATATTTATTCATTTAAGTATTTACTTTTAGGCCATAAAGTATTCTAGCCACACTTCCAGGTTTTATATTTTACTTTTTCTTCTCTTTATATCAATAGCATGTACCACTAGTGTATGTTTACCACAATACTTTTATTATCTCCAGCAATAAAATTAATTAAAAACATATTCTACTTATTTAAGTATTGTTAAGCCATTATGCTTCTTTGGAAGTAAGACGTGATTTTCTAATGGATGTGACTAACAAACATTGCCTAAATCTCAGGTGCACCAGAGTGTCAGCTTTTCAGTAACTATTTTTGTTATTTATTATTTTTTTCTACTCAGTAGCAGAAAATTTAACCTCACTAAGTGTATTCTTAGTTCAACATAATGATATCTCCAATGTGTTTAGTTTGAAACAACTTTTCAGAGCTGGCCCAGGGCTCAGTACCGTTCCAATATGCCAAAGTCGTGGCTTTGATTCTGGTCAGGGCACATTTGTATCAATAATGAATGTGTAAATAAGTGGAACAACAAATGATGTTTCTCTCTCTCTCTCTCTCTCTCTCTCTCTCTCTCTCTCTCTCTCTCTCTCTCTCTCTCTCTCTCTCTCTCATCAATCAATAAATAAAAGATTTTCCCATTTTGAGATAAAACCTCTTCTCATATTTGTCCTTCCCTCACTTTCTCCCTAGAATTGTCTCTCTACTCCTAAAGTTAGTCACATTTCAAAAATTGTCAATTAAGTTGTTGCTGTTAGATGTTTGGTCCTGTCATTTCAGGCCTATCCTGGCCTTTGTTTCCAAGCATAGTCCCTCCTGCGCTCTTCCTCTCTCTGCATTCTCTGTACCGGGCTCCCCTGATAATGAACTATTTCACTTGAGTTTGACCTCTTAGTGCTTGTGATCCTCCCACATGCTCAGATGGTGTGGCCCATGTCATTTCTCCTGCCACGGGGTGCCCACATGATAGTTATGGAACATAACTGGCAGACTCCCCATAATACTTTCTGAGCCAATGTATCCTTCTTGGAGAGCCCAGGGAGAACTGAGGACTAAGGAGGGGAATTCTTCATGCTTGCTATTTCTACTGCCTTATCCCCAGTGTCTTTTACAAAAATTGAATCTATGAAGCAAAATCTCAGCTAGAAAATGAGAAAAATGAGTTATGGTGCCTATTCAACAGATTTTTCAAATTTTAAAGGGATATCATATTATCATCATCCTTGATCAAGATTTCTCGCTTATTCCTAATTACCCTAAATTTACTTTCTGTGTTCATACTTTTTACACGCTTTTCCTGGGTTTAGTTTTCCCCTTTTCTTTTGGTGGTCAGGTGGTGGTGGTGGTGATAAAAATGGAGAGAGGAACTGGGTCTGTGGGCTCAGATTTCCTTTTCAGTTTTTCTTCTGCGTCTCAGACTCCCAACTGCGAAGCCAACGGTGTGATGTCTTTGTCTCCAGGTCCATTTCTTATGACAACATTGTAGGCCAAATGGCTACCTCATTCTTCAATGTTCACACTGGGGAAGTTCTGGGGGAGGTGGTTATCTATATCAAAAAGCATTTCCGTCAATATGACATAGCCTATTGCATTATTAAAGTACATAGTCTTCATTTAAAGTATAACAAATAGTAATCACTTATCACATCTTAGGAAAAACATTGCAGATGTATAGTTTTAAAAAAAATCACTAAGACAGCTATTTTGTTAATCCTGATATCAGTTCCATTTAAGTGTTTCTAAACAGTGAAAAAAATAATATAAAAATGCATTAGCAATTCCTTGAATTGATTTATGAAAGAATTTTGACTTGGGAAGTTAGGGTGTATAAGCTAGTGTCACAGCCTACAGCCTACATAGATCATACAGGAGACGCCAGGCTCTGCCATCAGACCATCTCATCTTCAATCCTAGCTCTACTGCTTGATAGCTGCATAACTTCTCTTAGTTTCAATTTCTCACTTGTAAAATGGATACTACTATAGCATGGTGGGTGGCATTAAGTGAGATATTTTACTATATGTAAAGCACTTAGCACAGTGCCTGGCACATTCAGCCCCAAGAAAATGCTCATTAACATAATTTTATGCTGTTTATTTTCCTTTCTACTGACAATCTCATTGACTAGATGATAAAGCAAATGTGGTTACAAGTATAGAAGATAAATATGGGTGATTTCAGACAGCCAGTGGGGAGATTTCAGGATACATTATAAACTTATTTTATATTTAATATGGTTTAAGTTAGGGAAGAGAGAAGAAAACAAAGGCTTGAATAAGAACAAAATCATAGCAGTGAGTTTTATGTTCTGGTAAATAATTTAGGAAAATCCTCAATATATGTAGATCACATAAGAATGATAAGTTAATGATATATGCAGACCACATAAAGTTCATGTGGATTAATGATTCTGTCTTCTTTAACCCTTATTGAGAAAACTAAATGCACTGCATAGCTTTTTAATGTCCTCATCTAGCCTCATCAACTGTATAACAGGAAAAATTATAGCCACACTTCTCTGTTGCAACTTATTAGTAGTAGGCTCTGTTGCTTGTGGTTCATTTTCTTGTGCTTTGCTTATGCCTATTTTGAAATTTACAGGTATGACTATCTAGCCATTAAAGAAAAGGTTTGATTTATGTGCCTTCACCACATTAGATATTTAATGCATTTCAGGTCATAGGTGAATTGAATTGATTTTTTTAAGGTAATGGAAAGACTTGACAACAACAACAAAAATTGAAGAGATGAAGTTATAACAAGAGAATGCCTTCTGCTATTCTGGTTGGAAAATTTAGGGCTATGTTAAGTAATTCAATTCTTGTCCACAGAAAAAGGCTAACATGATTTTGAAGGAGTCGTATGTCTTGGCAAAGCAAACTAGGGATTGCCTTTATTTAAGGGGGAAAATAGACACTCAAACCACTTGATGATTCCAACACTATTCATGACTTGCGGTGCTGACATTCTATAGATTGATGGCGTCTTCAAGTGTGGAAATACTGAGTCATACAGAAGATGAGACGTTTTAATAATGAAAAAAAATATTTAGCAGTCAGCAGATTGTCAGTTAAGGTGGTTTCGATTATAAGAGTCACCCAACAGAGACTAGGGTATGTTGTAAATTATTCTAACCACACAATCATTTGAAAATGAGTAAAGCAAACAGAGTGAATTGGTATATCCCAACTCCTTTTATCTCTCCCCCCCCCCCCTCTTTCTCCTCCTATTCCTCCTTTGAAATGGGGGTAGTGGTAGGGGGCTGTAGACTCTGTATCTAAACACAATATGAGAAAAATAAGATGAGACTAAACTTTCTTCAGGAATGTTATTTTCTCCACAAATGCTACAGAATACAGTGACTTGTGGTTCTGTGAGTTGCTTGTTTCCTATTTGTTTCTCTTCCTTTGTGTAGATTGTTTTGAGACTGTCTTAATGCCTCCCATCAATGACAAGCTAACTTTGTCCATTTTGTAATGATAACCATTGTTTTATAAAATTCTTTGACAAGTTGGAGAGACAAGAAATGAATCCCTGCATCTGGTTTAGTAACAATTGCAGTTGAAAACCATGCTGGTTAATTTAACCATTCTATTGCCGACATCCAACCTAGACTTCAGCAGTTTTAGATCAAGAATCAAGAAGCTAGCCTGTGATCCCAGCACCCACAAAAAGCAAATCAGCTGCATTCTACCCTTGTGTAATAGCCTTAACTTCATGTTTTGGTATTTGGTTTAAAAAAAAATTAAGAGCAACCATTATTCTGGATCTTTACTCTTCTAAATATTTATGCCCCAGGACAAAAAATAATGGAAACTGAAGAAAATTGCATCAAGTGGGTATAAGTTGAAGGAGTTATACCAATTTCCCATATCAGAAATTAGTCCATTGACTATATGGGTACCAAATCAGAGTTACTTTTTTGTTTCATTTCCTGTTTGATAAAATTCTTCCTAAGTAATTTAGCTACGTGTTGTAATTCATACATGTTCACATATTTTTCTTTTGTCACTATTCTTTTAAATTTACCTGCAAGTTTTTTTTTTATTAAAAAGTGCTGCCTAAATATACTGAAGATTTGTTATGTCATTTCTCTCCCCGCCCCCATTTCAGCTCCCTTTGAAATTAGAAATAAAATGGTTTATTTTATTGTTTTATTCACTCATAATCTCAGGAGATTAAAAAATAAATAAATAAAAAACACTAAAGAATTTGTACTGTCCAAATAGCACTACTCTCTGGTCAAGAGTTCTTGTCACCTGTTGGTTGATATTTGTAAAACTATGAGCTCAAGCACTGACTTTCCTTAGAGATCAGGTGTTCTGACCTCACAGCCAACATTGTCTTTTTGGTTCCTGTATCTTGTGCATTGTAGATGATGCCTATTCTTTTAGTGTGACATATATTAATGGTTTTCATTGATCTCATTGTCACGTTTTCTAGGTCTACAGCACCAAGACAAGAGCAAGGAATCACCATGGTACTGAAATGCATGGTATTAATAAGTCCAATTGGAGCTTGAGTCCTCGGGCCCACTGGGAATAGATGCTTCTAGGATTTTCCACTCTGCGATTGGACACAATAGACATGGAGGAGAAGAGGAGTGCCAGCCAGCTGACTTTGCATTGGAGCCTTTTATCGAGAAAGCACAGTGGGTCCTAGACAATGAAGAAAAGCATTTTTGTTTATTTTCCCCCTCATCTGAGCCTTTGCCAACTGTGCAACTCTTTTTTTTTTTCTTTTTTCAGTCTTGCTTTTATCTCAATACATGGTTTAATTTTTGTTTCATTTTGATTTCCTTTTTAGCCAACCACCTTGTCAGGAAAAGATGAATCACAAATGAATATGCTCATTCTTTCAGGAATAAAATTTTATAGCTCTATGTGTATCTATTTTTGTAGAAATACAGAAAGTTTGATTTAGCATTGATGGGCTATTTTTGAGGGATGTATTTTTTTTAATATTGTAAAAAATCATTAAGTTCTGTTTAAAGAACTTGCTCTTAGAGAAGCACTGGCAAAAAAAAAATGTTTAAAATGCTTGTCTTTTAAGATGTCTGTGATATGCTCTGTGCTTTCTAGGTTACCTCAAGTGTTTGATAGTTTACCCCTTTTTACAGAAGTAGCACCATAGCCAAGCCAATATAGTGTTGCATTACATTAAATCTCAGTGAAGATTGAATTCCGTGCTACCTTACTTTGCTTTGAGTAATATGTATAGCTTGAAAAGGAAGTTTTTTAATGAACACACTAGAGAAAGAATATTTGATTACTTTGATTTCTCCCAATGAGTACTTGTAGGTTGATTTAAAAAGTTTTGCATAAACCTGCAATCAAATGAAGAATTTGCATAGAATATGTAATTCTCTTTGTAGTCCATCTGAGTTTGATAAGTGGAATCTGAGGTGATATCCAACTACTGGAAACAAATTGCATTTAACCGTGCTACCTTTGAGTGCCAGTTACTTATTTTTCTCATTCATGGCAATTTTTAAGGTCATATTTTAAGTGGAGTTCTTTTCCTTGACATAGTTTGAAGAGATACTCTTTGGGAAATTACAAGACATATTACAAAGCCTTTAATTCCATGACTCTTTCTGATCATGTTACCTATCATTGTGAATTGAAAACTAATATAGTGCATGTGCAATATTTTAAACATAGGATTTTGCGAGTTTTTTGTTTTTAATCTGAGTTTAGGTGATTTAATTCTTTATAAGAAAGACACTTAGAGAAAAATGAAATTTTAGTTTGAATTTATACCACAATTACTGAAATTGGATTAAGAATTTGACAATTTGTTATTTAAAATTTATTTTTGGAAACCCCAATTCAAGTTGACTGACCATCATAATGTAAATAAGGTAAAGCTGGAATTATTAAGAGCCTTTTAGAAAAATATTATGAAAGTAGCAGTTAATGATAGTTAAAGGACTTTTAATGCAAAGTCCATTCTTTTTTCTGGGTCTTTTCAGAAATGGGTCATGTTAAAAAGTTAATGTTATAGAGAAGTTTTTTTGTTTGGTAAAACAATTTCTCAAATTTTTTCCATCCCTCTCTTCACCCATATGGAATACAATGTTTAGTGAAAGACCATTTTTCATCATAAATTGTGTATATTATGTATGTGAACATTTTAGATATAAGAATAAGAAACCTCTACTTAGCTAGGCAGAGTTCTCACAGGTAATTCTCAAATATGTTCCTTACCTGTATTTCATGTATTAATTTTCTTGTCTGGAGCATCTCATGAGGAATAGGCTGTCTTGTGGTATTCTTATCACTCCATACATTGCTTCTTCTTAGCCAGACTCTCCTTAGCACAGTATGCACATTGTTACCTAATTTGAGGCCCAAACTTAAGGTATCTGCCACTTACTAATGACATGAACTTATATTTTTAGGGCCTGGCTCAGGTAAATGATCTACATTTTGATTTATAATTTGATGTATTACAGTAAGTAATTTTGCCAAAGTCTGTGGAGCACAGAATTGAATGTATCGATAAAATTGGTTTCATTTGTATCCTCCTGAGTTTTCAAAGACAAGTATTTGGTATTCCCATGGGAAGACTCACTGGGGATTATTTATTTTTCTCTTCTTCCCTTGGACCTATTAACTTCCTTTTCAGTGTCTCTGAGAATGGTATAGTGCATCAAGCCATTTAAATCGTTCAATTGGATTTTTCCAGTTAAGAGAAGAAAAGTGTTAACCCTCTGCTCTTTTCCTTATTCTCCGCTGAATTGAATTGAAGGAGAGAGAGCAATTAGATAGCTTCACTCTAAATTGAGACTGTGTTCTGTGTCACTCCTGGCAACTATAGGATAAAATATTTCTTGGTTCTGGGGGCCTAAGAAAAGTTAGGGACCTAAATTCTGCTGTATACAGGAAAGATTTGTAAGTGAGAAAGGGCTTAGGTGTTGTTGGAACAGCAAGTGTTAGATTTTTGCATATGCAAGGAGTGGACCCAGTCTACGTGAAAAGAGAATGAGTGCATGTCTATAATTGTCTGGCACCCCTTACTATGATGACATTATCATTACCAGCAGAGGTTATAAAAAGGGATCAGTTGTAATTTAGCACAGTGTTCTGAATTTATTTTAGGTTTAAAATGCTAGCACACTCTGGGTCTGGTTTGCTAACATCAAAATGATTTGGTTGAACTTCCAAACTGCTTTACTGAGGGCTGCCCCCTCCCTCCTCAACTTCACATGGAACCACTCTATCTTTGACTATTTTACAAATTATTCAAGTTTTCTAAAGATCTGTGAGCTAGCCCCTAGAAAATGACCTGATTTAGTTGGCATCTAATCTATGCTTCCACCTAAACTATCATGAGCTAAGAAACAACCTAATAGTGACAAGTCGATCCTAACTGGTTATTGGCCCCTCATTGTTTATTTGAAAAGAGTACTAAACTTCAAAAAAAACAACAACAGTGTTTCTTCTTAAGAAGGTTAACCATCCACTCCTATTTTCTCTTATTTCTCTTTCCTCTTAAAATTACCTTACAATATTATTTTAAGCAAAAGTGGCCGCTATTATTTTGAATTTTGCGAATGAGAACTAGTGGATGACAAATTAGGAGTTGAAGAATTAATTTCTTTAACTTCATAAGAAACTTTAAAAACAACACATTCCAGGTACTAGCTTAAAATGTGTTGTTAAGAAATTCATTATTCATTATGCACATAGTATTTGCCCATTCCTACTCTAAGTGAGACCTATAGAATACATGACAGAACCCATCTCACTTTTACATTTACTCTCTGGTTTAATATTACATTTGTAATTTAAAGGGGCAATCAGAAACTGTATTTCAAGGAACTGCATTATATTTCTTACTGAGCATCCCTTTGTTAGATAATATATGCTGAATTAAGTCAATGGGACAGTGGCATTAACTGGTAGAAAAGGAAAGAATCTATGTTAGAGTTCTAATGAGGATATTAATTGAAAAGTAGAACGAATTAATGGAAAAGAGCATTGTGTTGGGCATTAAGTTATTCTCTGACTTCTGGCTTAGCCACAATTATATAGATGTGATTTGGGGATTTATTTATTTATCTCATGAATAAATGGGATAATAATACCTACTGGCAGGCTGTGAAGGGTGAAAATCATACATATGTATATAAAATCCATCATCAGGTCATAGTAATGTTTAATAAATAACAGCTACCATACATGTCTATCAGTTGAGTGAGTAGGTCATAAAACTGAGTTCCCAAATGTCCTCTCTCTTTACTTCCTATAGCCATCTCTGTAGCAGTAGATATATCATCATGCTTTTCCATAACAAATTAATGCAAAAGAATCTTTGCCTTCTACTAGGTGTTGAAGATAAAATGTAAAATTCTTAGTTATCCCTATTATTGGAGTGTACCATTTATGAAGGAAAATAACCTCTCAATGGTATCTCTGTTCAACTCTGAGTTTTCTTATATATTCCAAAATTGGATTCATCCAGGACCCTGTGTATTTTCTTCTCCAAAATTAAGGCAACAGGTTTATTAAATCACCAACGTTAATATTTTTCAGTTATATTTGGGGCTTCCTTAGTACCTGGAATAAAAACATCTTTTTTGACATTATTCATTTTTTTTCCCTTCTTGCCATGGAGGAAAAACTGCAAGATATGGTGGAAAAAAATGGTCTGCATGTAAAAGGGAGAAAAAAATAAAATGCAGAACACTTTAAGATCTCAGTCAGCAGATTTACTCTGCTTGAGAAAAAAAGAAACAACTTTATTGGAAGCAGCTGTTGACACTGTGTCGGTTATTGAAGATGGAAAGAGTTCAGTTGAACCATCGCAGTTACAAAGGGGTATTGATGGCAGTTAGAATTCCTGTGATTGATCACCTTCACCACAGACAGAAGGACAGCAGAAAGCAGAAACTTTGAGACTGAGACTGAAATCAGCCTGCCAATTTTAATAGGCAGCGCCCAAGGATGCAGTTTTGTTTTGTTTTATTCTTTTATCTAGAATAAAAAACACATCCTTGAGAAAATGTAAGCCTTGTTTGAGAGAGAAATAAAAATGTATTTCCTAAAATCATGGCCCAAGAACCCTTTAAATCTAGTATTAATGCATTAAAACTATTATTAAAGTTGTTTTAGAAAAGTTAGGTTAAAGTTTTTGTTCAATGATGTATATTGTAGGTGAATCTCAAAATGATACAAAGGTGGATGACTCTGAGATTAGGGTACCTGTGGGCCTGCAAGGAGAGAGACCTCAGTCTCAATAGCCACAACACGTCATCTTAGTAATGTGGTCACAGAACAGACTTTCAGAATTTTCCTGTAGGCTTTCCTTTCTTTTAGTGCTCTCTGGGAATATCTCCATGTACACTTTTCCAAAGTATAGAAATAGTCATTATTATTCAACTATCATACTTTTCTTATTTCTTATATTGTCCATTGTGCTTTTTTTGTTTGTGTGAAAAATATTTTTATAGTTCCAAATAATTGATAAAACTATTTATCCTGAAATTGCAAATGAATTTAGTCCAATAAATTGGTCTATCACCTTTTTAAAATTCCAAGAAATAGTAAGTGTAATTTGCCAATTCCATTGTATAAGTAAACAACCACACTTTCTAGAAAAGTGCAGGTCGCCATTAATTAGCTTTCTTTCAAACTGTTTCTGGACTACTAAATTTCGACTTAAGGATAATTCTTTTACTACTCACGATTCTTTATTTAGCTTTTTTGGTATGTGCATAAGATGTGAACTTTTTAAATGATATCTCTTTATACTAATAGAGATGTACATTTTTTCCTATGCTGTGGCAAGGGCAAAAATTAATGATTATTTACATACTTGATTTAATTTCTTAGGATATTTACAATCTTGGATATTATATTTGACTTAAAATACTATTCCATATATTTTAACAGATTAACAACATAGGGAAAGGTTTTCATGTGAATTATTTGTATCATTTTAAAGTGCATATTGAAAGGAAAACACAGATTTGCTTTGTTTTCATCATATAAATCTAAGTAAGATGTACTTTTATAAAAAAATACATAGTATGTGAAACTTATATTTGTTATTTGGTTAGGTAACCTGAAAATTAATGCTAGAAATATCTCACAGTCTTGAAATACAGTGAAATTCCAGATTTGTTAGTTTTATGAGCAATTTTATGCTATCTTAATTTTACAATTCCAGCAAGACAAATGAATCTTAGCTATGTTGTCATTATTTACAAAAACTAGATATAATTCATAAAACTTTGTGCTTTAAAACTAATTATAAAATCATATTTTCCCCCTGTTTTTCTTGGGGTTGTGGAGAGAGGCGTTTCATATTTCTATTCACTTTTCAAATGCAGGTCTCATGGCTATGTGTTGATGATGTAAGATAATGGAGGACTTTGTAATAAAAATAAATGTCATCTTCAATTTGTTCAATAAATAATTTAATGTGAACTCAATGTTTATATTTAATGTAGCATTTTGGTTTCATTTGTATTTCTTGATTCTTAACTAAAGCTTTTTTCTTTTTATTTAATAAGCAACTTATAAATATATTTGGAAATTAAAATATCATAGGTTTTTTTTTAATGAGGTTTAGTTAATTTTTAGAGCCAAGAAATATATTACAGAGAGGAAATAGGTTATAAAACCATTGTCAATAATGGACCAGCAAGTGAAATGGGCTGTATTACATAATCTTGGGAAGCTTATGAATATCTTAATACAATATTTCTAAAGTTATAGATAGACTCTTTGGGAGAAGGCATTTATTTTATTTCATTTTATTTTTTTACATTTGTTGATACAGATGAGCAGTGTGGAAAAAGAAACCAAACTTTCCCAAACCCAACAATTCTTTGAAATGTACCTAGAAGGAAGTACAAGACCTGATATTTTTAAAGGAAGCTAGAATTTCCCTACCTGAGACTTCTGTTTCCTTATTAAATGAGTACTAAACGTGAAAGTGCAAAGTTTGAAAATCAATATTGAAATCAGTAATGCCTCCAGGATTACAGGTGAAATAACTTGGCACAGTCTTTTTAACAGTCTGCATATTTTTAGACTAGACTAGTGTCATAGGTTTTCTAAGGATGCTATAAAAATTACCACAAATTCAATGGCTTAAAACATGTGTTATCTTCTGGCTCTATAGGTCAGACATTTGGCACTAAAGCTAAAGTGAAAGTGTCAGCTGAATTCCTTCTGGCTATTCCAAGTAAGAATCTGTTTTGGTGCTGTTTTTTAGGATCTCAAGTCCTTGGCTAATGGCCCCCTTCCTCCATCTTCAAAGCCAGCAATCTCTGGTCAAGCCCTTCTAATACGGTATCGCTCTGACCCTCTTCTGCCTTCTTACACATTTATGGACTTTTGTAATTATATTGGCTTTACCTGGATAACCCAGAATAATCTCCCCATTTCAGAGTCCTTGACTTAATTCCACCTACAAAGTCCTTAAATGCTAGGCAACATGTTTACAGATTTCAATAATTTTTTTCATCAGTTTTGGGAATTTACTGTATCACTGGAACTAGCAAGGCTTGTTCCACGTTTTCAATGGTCATTTGTGCAAGATTCATCTTCAATTAAATAACTTCATATGAAGGAAATTCCTGGTGCTTTATTAAACATCCCACGTGGTTATTACAGCGCCTTGGGATTCAAAGGGTTATGTGGTATTTATTTCAGACAGGCACTCAGGGGGGTGGAGAGCAGGACATCTGGTGCAGATTCCTCCTAGCTGAAGTGTGTTTTCTTTGGGGACAATCACTACCATTTAATTGTTTTTGCTTCCTTTTTGGGGAACATATGCCCATTATGTGATGTTCTAAGTCTCCAAGCATCTCATTTGACTTGCTTATACACATTCGACTAAATATCTCTATATATGACCACATTGACATGGTAAAGCTTTTATATTTCGGTCTAGATTGAATCATTGCATCTGTTATCAGTTAAGCAGTGGAAAAACTGCTATGGAAAGCAAACATGTTTTGATCCATTGAATGTGTAAAGTAGGTGCCTGTACTCTAAAATGCTGTTGATCAATACTTGAGCTAGACTCTCTTAAAAACAACACTCAAGCACAACGGCTTTACTTTCCCTACCAACTTTGGCTGTGGCTGAATGAACACCAGCATTGATCTTTTCCTTGCACTTGCACAAGAGACTGTTTGCAGGGAGCCAAATATAGCAACCAGAGGATTTAATATCTTGCCAAAAAATACAAAATCTGTTCCCTTTTAAGCACGACACTCTATCCTTTTCTTGTGGATCTTGCTAAAAGGAAAATATAGCTTTAAACAACCCCATTCCTTCTGCTGGAAGTTTTCTAATCTTTTACAAATGGACTCTGTGTGGTTTTATGGAGTTTTACATTTCCAAAGGAAAATGGTTCTATCCAGTGTTACTTTTTTTTTAATCAAAAACAAAACAAAGCAAAACAAAACAAAACAAAACCCACACACAAAATGTTATAAATCAAAGGTGAGAGTCAATAGCAATACTTTGGTGGCTTCAGGAATAACCAAGGATCTCTGCATGATTATCTCTGTTTCATTTTGTATTGAACCAAAAATAACAATTTTAAGATAGACAAGATCAGGCATGTTCAGGGCGGTATGGCCATAGACTAAAGATAGAGAGCAGGCAGACAGCTCTGAGGGGTGGGGGTGGAAGTTGGTGGGGGGAGGATGGAGAGATTGAATAAAAAAGAGAAAAGAAAGTGAGAATTCATGGACATGGACAGTAGTGTGGTGATTGCAGGGGTGGGTGGATAGAGGTGGAAGAGGTCATAGAGGGGATAAATGCTGATGGAAAAATTAAATTAAAAAATGAATTTTACCAACAAGATGCCTTCTTTTCTTAGAACAAAAGTGTTTTGCTCTGAATGTTGTCTGAGTGGTAGATGGACTGATCCAGATTTCTCTACAATGTGGGTAATGACTGATTCTTCTGCTCCACTTATGATGTATATACAAAATTTTAAAACAGTTTTGCAAATACCACCAAGAAAATAAACTTTCCACAGTAACAGCTTTACCAAGACATCTCTGTGTGGGATTTTAAAACAAACACAAAGCTGTTTGGAAATACTTGGTATATGTAAATATGCAAAATATGCTGAACACTGCTAACAGCTGTAGGGTGTACTCTCTCATCCTCGAGCAGAATATTTTGGTGGCAGTGGTGCTTATTTTTTCCATCCTGGCTTGTCAGTCCCTATCCCTTTTGTCTCCACCCACTTCCCCTTCCACAATATCCTCCAAAAGCACATACTTCCCCTCCTTTTCCCTCCCCCCTATGTCTACACTGCCTCCAAGGGAATCAGGGCAGCAGGTCCCGCTGGAAAAGGTGGGCTGTGTCCTGAAGGAATGTGTGAGTTACACAATGTAGTAAAGGCTGAGCTTGGAGGAACTTGCTTGCACTTGCTCTGACACCAGCCCGTACACAGCCCAGACACTCTGCAGGCCAGATTCCATCGGGGCTTGTCATTGCAGGGGAGCAGCAGTCTAGTTGAGAGTGGCCTTCTGCCATGATGATCCCAAAGGTCATAGAACAATCATTTTAAGTGTGCGGCATCAGGTTCTGTAATGTAAAGAGGCTCATCCATTTATGAAAATAAGCATATGCCTTCCTGCCTAGAGCCAAAAAGAAGGAAGGACTCAAGAGAAAAATGAAAAGTCTCTTCTTGCAGGACTTTGACAGGTTTGTAGAGGAAAAAGAAGCAGATGTGAGGAGAGAGACCCTGGTTCCTCAGACCAGTTCTTCTGGTAATTTGTTGATATTATTCAGTCCCATATTTCCTCAGTTTCCATATTTGTCAGGTAAAAATCATATATAATGATAAATAACAGCTGTTTTGAGAAAACAGGAATTACTAAATAGATACAAAGATAGGAGCTGACATTTATTCAAAATCTATATACAATGAACGTTATATGAACTTAAAAGAATTCTTACCAATAGCAATATGTAGATAGCATTATTTGAGAGGCAGTTAGCAACATAAAAAGAAGATTTGAGATTTAGCAATGCTACTTGAAGCTGTATGTCCTTGAATGATTTTCTTAACTTCTCAAAATCTGTGTGTTCACCTGTAAAATAAAAATATTAAAGTAACTACTTAATAGAGTTGTTATGGTATTAAAGTATATGAATTATTTACCATTAAGTTAATACTATTTTATTAATCTTGTTTTATTAGTAATTTTGAGTATCAAGGAAATCATCAAACACTTGCCCAAGTCTACAAGTGACAGAGTCAAGATTCCATCATTTTAACAACAACAAAAAACCCCACAAAAATCTTAGAACATCATAATGCCCCTTCCCCAAAGTTGTTGCTATAGTTCATCTGAAAGTATTTTCTATGAACATATTTTAATGCTCACTTGGAGGAACTGACAGTAGCCAGAAAGGGAAAG